TTTTTTTGAATAAATGTTTTCGAATAATTGTTTTCAAATAATTATTCTCGAACAATGTTCACATAATCTCACATGGTATATTTAATAGTTTCATAGCTTTTATCTGTTGGAAAATTTTTATATTCCAAAACTAAAAATATATTTTCTTTACATTAAATTTTATAAAAATGTAAGAAACAGGATTGGAAAACTTTGCAGAATTAGTAATAGAATTTTTAAATACAAAATGGTTTCCCTGATTATTCAAATTATGATGCTTATATCAAACATTGTCAGTCAAAAACATTATAACCACTGGCCTATTTCCAGCCAAAATGTCTGCTGACTAGATAAACTACAACAATCCTGAAGTATAACATAATCATAGTCAAGTTTTAAATTGAAATATAGCTGCTTTATCAGAACTGTTAGGCTAATGACTAATTAAATAGTCAACTCTTGATGTGGTAAGGTGCAGCTAAAAATCTACTGTTAACATTGAAGATTTCAATTTTGGCATCAATTTAAAAGTAAATGGAAATAACACTTAAACCAAAAGCTTGGAATATAGATGTATATAGGTTGTCTTATATAGCAAATTTTGTATTCATATACAGAATCCTTCAGTAGCAGAAGAATCAGTAATTTTAACAAACATTAAAAAGTAATTAAAAAGAAATAATAAAACTACATGAAGACATATATCTAAGCAATAGCTATTTATGCTTCTTTTTTGCTTAACTAGTAGATTTGTAATTAGTAAAATGTTGTGTTGAGTAGATTGTTATCAAAGTAATGAAATAGTTTAACATTATTATTATTGAAAATTTGATACTGTGAATATCCTATTTGGAGAGGATAATAAAATATGACTGTATAATTCCTCTGCATGTTTCATTGACTTGTCTAAATCTCAGATTAGTGTGAAATAGGAATGTCAGTATTATATGTCCTATAAGAAGAATAAACACCTTGCAGAATTGGTGACAAATGACATAAAAAAAATAAAATTAAGAAGTAAAAACTGTAGAAAAATATAATCACTGAACATCTCTGATTGGATTATGATTATTCTATTGTTATGGAGCATACTTCCTGAAAGAATTACTTTTCACTTATCCAGAAAATCCTTAATTATCATTCTACATATTTCAATTAACAAATTTAGATGTTAATTATAGGATTAATTCTTTTTTTAATGTGCCACAATGTGACAGAGGATAATGTCCAACATTTTTGCTCACATATGTATGTATGTATAATATAGTACAGGCTGTTGTACATTTGTACAAGGTTTCAATAAAGGCTTTTTTGACATAGGGTTATGATATGAATAAAAAAAAAGAAAAATGGATATCTTTAATAAATCATTTGAATATTGTTAACTGTACAAAAACTGGTAAAGAAATTTTAACACAAGATAACTTGGACATTGAGATTAACACCAAACAGTGAATGTCACGCTTGAAGATTGCATTCAAGCATGAAATAGACTGTTGCTACTTGGTGATGACATCAGTGTCCACTTTATATATATATATATATATATATATATATATATATATATGAAGAAATATAGTTTTAAGGTGTGCTATATTTATGGGATAAAGTGCTAAATATCAGAGATAGAGCATATATAAATGTAAAAGTGAACATTGAAGTCAACACTTCAGTCAGTTGTTTCTGAGTGTTGACTTCAATGTTCACTTTTATATATATATATATATATATATATATATATATATATATGATAGAAATATAGTTCTAAGGTATGTTATATCTGTAATCTTCAGGCTTAATGCATACATATATCCTTACAACAGGAGTGAAAAGTCCATGTATGCAATTCCTGCACTGTATGCCTTACATTTTTTCCAGGATAAATATTTTTGTGTAATATAAAATTAATTATTGATATTTTTCACTATCCTCTTTGTACTTGTATTTTTTGTATTTCCCATTCTTCATTTCTTAGGATAATTGTTACAAGTGATATTATTTAGGGAGTGTAAGTAGAGTAAATGCTTGTTGTTTAGCAAGAAATGATACAAGTAAAAGCAATGAATTTACTAGCTTTTTTAGTAAGGAGTACGAGAGATAGTGAGTGGGTGAAAGAGAGGCAGTCACTGAAAACAGAAATTCTTTTGCTTGCATTAGAAAAGGCCATGGCTTTAACCTTCCCTGTTTTAATCAAGCTGAGTGAATGAAAAAGAGAGACAGAATAATGAAGTGGGGGGGGGGTCACAGAGAGAAAGCCACCAAACAGCAGAAATTCTTTTGCTTGCTTTCCAGCTGTAGACACTCTTTACTGAAGTGATGATATTTTTGTTGCTTGCAGCTGAAATCAAAGACATGCCTATTCAAAGGATTTATAGTCAGACAGATTTAGCTGAAAAGTTTGCATTATTCGGTTCTGAAGAGTATATATGGAATGTCTGATGACTTTAGTGTTACATCAAAAATTCTTTCTTTTACTTACTTTTAAAAAGTTTTAACCCATGGAGATTATTCTTGACTGCTTAAGACCGGATTCAGTCATGTGACCATTACTCAGAAAGTTTTTGACCATTTCATACATGGGGCAAGGAGCAACTGGTGAATTTTTTGTGATTAAAAGTTAAGTTTTCATCTGTTTCAATGCCTTAAGATTTAATTTTACAGTTATATAAAAACATTTCTTGATAATATTGTATATTATTTCATTAAACATGTTGAATTTTGTTAAAGGACATTTTAAAAAATCACTGCAATACATAATTTTAAAATTAAATTAAAAGTATTTAAATTCAAATTTCTTGTATTAATGTTGGTGTTATTTTAAAGAAGAAAAGTTGAATTTTATCTTAAAAGGACATTTGGGTAATTAAAACAATATTAATTTAGTATGTCAAAATTACAAATTTCCATTTTCCAGTCATTAGTCAATGCCATTTTCTGACACCTGTTGTCAAACAATTAGAAACTTATTTTAAACATTTTTTAAAATTTAAAATAAAAATGTCTATGTCTCATTAAAATAAAAACTGCTAATTTGATGAATTGCGAACAAAATTAAACCAAAATTACTTAATTTTTTCTTAAAAATTAGTGAAAAACATATTTTTTGCAAGGGTCTCTTTTTCCCTATTCACCTTGCCAATTAGCCTGCATAATGGACTGCATGCCCTGGTTTGCAATTAACCCTTTGCCACTACCACACATACACACACACACATATATATATATAATTGTATATTTGGGCAGTAATCTCTCTTTTATACAAGTTTCATTAAAGACAACTGACAAGATACTGTAATTCAGCTTTTTATTCAATTTTTCTTGTGTTCATATAAGTGTTTTCTTTTCTAAACATAAAGTGTGTAAAACTGTCCGAATGTTCTATATATGTGACCATTTTTGGCTATTCTATTTGCCATATCAAGTATTTTTTTTTTTAAATTCTAACTGGATATGTAAATTTTTATATGTGTGCATTTATAGTGATGGGAATGTTTTTTTTTCTTTTCCAAACACAGTCAGCACATTGTGACCATGTTCATAGTTGATATTATGAAGTGTTGGCCTTTACCCTTTTATTATTAATGCCTCTCTATATATGCATGTATGTGTGTGTAAGCATATTTACATACTTCTACAACTAAAATAATGTTAATTTTTATTGTTTTCAGAAATAAAAATATTATGAAGCAGCATTTTTTAGTAGTAAGACAGTTTAATCATATATACATTTTAATGAATGTACAAATTTGCTTTTTATGATGACTATTTTTATAATTTTGCTAATTTAAATTTTTGTGAGAATTGTTTTCATTATGATACAAATATTCAAGTGTAGTTATGTACCTATTTATTAGTATACCACATATCTATTTTTAATAAATCTATTTTGACTCTCTTTGTATGGCTGTTATAATTAGTGTTAAGTAAACTTTAAAAACACTATTGCACCTATGTATGCATGCATATTGTATTGAATAATGGATCATTTTTGTAAAAGGTATAGGAATGTACGTTTTTTTTTTGTTTTTTTTTTTATCTGGGAAGCATTAAAATTATCTTTTTTTAAAACTAAACATTCCCAACTTTTGTTGATAAGTGTAGTGTTAAAATTAAGTATGTGTTGCGTTTTTATTTTCACAGTTGTTGCAGTACAATTCAGTTTTATTTTTTTAACAACACACAAAAAATTGGAATTTAGTAACTGATTTTAAATTAAACATTCAGTTAATTATTTTCATATCAATTTGATTAGATTAAAATAAAATTTTTTCACTTTTGAAAAAATCAAAGAAACACATTAAAGTTCAGTGCTAATCCCTTATTCCATCTCTCTTTCTCTAAATGTGTACAATGAGAGGCAAAAAAATTATTTTTAAGAAGATTATGAGATAATCTTGAGAGATTATTGTGCGCGAAACAAAGCTACCTTCTGCCATCAGGGACAAACTCATTTTTGGTGAGTGTAAGTTACGATTCGTGAAATAAACTCTCACTAATTTTAAATATTTCGATATGATTAAAAGTTTTAAAAGATGCTATATATATATATATATATATAAAATATATAGATATAAATTTGCTAATAAAAACATTTATTTTTATGAAAAATTAAGTTAGTGGTAAAAATAGCATTCCAGACAACCTGTAACACCCTCTGTAAAAAATGGTCTCATCCATTACTTAATCCTCTACAGACTACAAAAAGAAGTAACCTTCAGAGCATGGCCGTTAGTTATGGGTTCTGTGTCGTGTTGTAATGGCTAGTAAATTGCTCTCATAAGACATTACTACTGTACAGTGAGTTCAACCCTCACTGGGTTTCTTGTGCTTGTGGCCTTGTGCCTAAGCTAAACTTAGTAAATACCTAATCGTATGCAGACATTATAGCTGAGTTGGCTACTCTGTCTCGAAAATTTTAAACAAAATTAAAGAAATAATTACACAGCCAAGGATTTGTTATTCGTTACAACGGTTACATAGTTGTTTGTTTTTGTATTTTTAAGACTTCCTGAAGATCAGAAATGGCAGAGTTACTATCTATTCATGTCCACATTCCTCCTAACCAGATGGCCACTAATGCGAAGGCCAGAGCTGCAGCTAAAAAACTTGAAGCTAATGGAGGTGCAATGGCCTTGCATCCTTTACAAAATTCTACAGAGAGACATACAGAAACTAAAGATACTAGAGGAAGATTCGCCAAACTTCCTAAAAGAAAAGCCGTTGATATAGAGTTTAGGGATTTAACTTATTCTGTTAAAGAAGGAAGACACAAAGGTAAGTAATTTTCTATTTTTCTTCTACACTGTAATCAATGTACATTCTCCATTCGCTTTCGTCATGACTTTGTTGTAATAAATGTTCATTTCACATCTTTTTTTTTCTTCTCTCTCTTAAAATATTGCTTTTAAAAATTAGTACTATTGATGCGTGATTTTTAAGTTTTCTAAACAGCATTTCATTTGTTATGTCTGAATTCAACATGCAGTAGTTGTTTAGCTGTCTCCCTCTTTTGTACACGTGTCTATTAATTCAACCTAAATTAGTCTAGAGACGAACTATTTTATTCACTGCCATTGACTTTTCAAAAATGAAATAGAAAACCTTAATGTCAACAATTTCAGACTATTTACTTTTATTTTTTTGTTTAATTAATATTGATTACGTTTAATAACGTAATCTCGTGGGAGATTCAAACAAAGGCATGAGCAAGTTTTTTTTTTTTTTTTTTACGTATGATATTTACTTTTTTTTTTTTTTTTTTTTTACGCGCAATTTTGTTACCTGGATTTTTAATAAACTTCTGTGTTTATGGATCTTTTCCCCCAAAATTGACTACGATTTCTCAAATAAACTTTTCAATCATGCACTTTTAAATTTTAAAGTGAATAATGATTTACAATAATAATTTTAAATAAATTTATTTTACAATTATAATAATTTGATTAAAAAAACACTTCGGGACTCAGAATTGAGAAAACTTGAACTTGTTCATAGTTTATCATTTTAAATACTGAGCCTTTCTTAGTTATAAAATTATGTTTGAAGACTTGATTAGTTAGAACTCCGCTATATATCTATGATGCGTATGTTATGTATTATTAACCCGGACATTAAGTACCATCTGCTTCCTTTCTGCACTAAAATGTAATCATTCACTATGTTATTCCTCCGCATTATGTGCCACTTTTAGTACCATCGAATTGGTTGCTTCCTTCCTATTCCCAGCCTACAAAAATAAATAGAAACAGAATTAAATATCACACACCCACTCTATTGCCCCTCTTTCATTTAATCTCGAATTACCTCTTCTTGTCCCGTGGACATTGCACGAAATTTAAATTTGTACTTTCTTTGTACTTTTGTTTTTATAAACTCTCTAAAAAGGCCAAAGGCTGGATTATTTTTTTTTTTAAGTAAACATAAACTTGGAGTATCGGAATTCGTTAAAAAAACAGTCTAAATAAATTTGCCTAATTACAGTCTGTGTGTGGAAATCGAGTACAATAAATTTTAAACAAATAAAAAAAACACATTTTAAAACTCTTAACAATAAGAAGTCAAGTTTTCCCCCACCCCCAAACAATAACTGTTGCAGTGTTGCTCACTCATTTAATTTTGGATCGCATCATAAATGATTTAAATAATTTTCCTGTCAGAATTTGAAATAATGACTAAAAATACCTTGTAAAAAAAAAAAAAAAAAAAAAAAAATCATATTAAATTATTAAAAATAGTTTGTTTTTAAAGAAAGCTTATGCGTTTTAAACGGAAACTAAAATATCTGTCGTAAACGTTACTTTCGCCAAGCTTATTTCACTTTTTTTCTCTTATCAAAGATTTTTAAACTAATACTTTATTTTTTACGCATTTTATTTTTACTGCAGTTTGTTTACAGAGTGCACTTGTTGGATACTATGAATTTATTTATACTATTTTATTGTTTTCGTTAAGTTTCTCTCTTTTGACAATGAAAAATTAAATGTGAACAGAATCCTTTAAAATATGCGCATCATGAATAGAATCAACATTTTTCATCACTGAGATCAAAATATCCGCTTGTTTACATAGTGATGCACAGAATTCCAATTACTTCGCCATTATTATCGTTTTTGGAATCTCTTCTTATAAAGAAACCAGTCTTCCTCTATTCTTCTCTTAATGAATTAGGCTCTTAAAAGTTACACGTATTTTCTGGTGATTATACGATAGAAAAAAACCTTATAATTGAACAGAATCTCATCTGTTTATGACGCGGTAATCTTTTGTTTATGAATAAAACTACTTTTTTCCGTTCAAATATTTGAAACCGCCATTATACACCTATTCTATATTTTTATTTTATTTATATTTTGTCGAAACTGAAGTTGATTATTTTCTTATCATTCGATTGTTTCATGACTTAGTGTACGTTAATTAATTTGTGATTAATTGCTTTAATTCTCGCTAATATATCCCCCACAAAAAAATAAATATTTAAAAAAAAAATGAATTTTTTTTTTTTAATCTGGAATTTTCATAATAGGAAAAACTGGTTTTCACAAACGTGAGCAAGATGTAAAAAAAATTAAAGATGTCACAATCTCGTTATATAATCCAGGAATTTAAGCAAAATTTACCTCATGAAAATTATTTCGAAATTAAAAAATGAATAGATTTTTTACTGATTATGCTCATTTTTTTAAAAAAAATTTTATTTTTTTTTTTTTAAACGTATGCATTTTAAATTGCAAAACATTTTTATTCCGGAAATATAATCGTAGAAAAACTACGATTCAAAAAGAGCCCCTTGCAGGTAACACTGCTACATCATTGTAATTAATTACATCACTTATCCTCGTAAGTTTATAGAAAAATCTTTTTTGCTATGTCAATTTGTAACACTACAGTGCATGAACGGTAAAACACGTGGAAGCTTTTTTCCCCTTTTAAGAATAAGTTTATTACTACTATCTATAACTAATAAATCTCCATCTTCGCTTTTTTGCCAGATTACTCGCTCTTGATTTTTGTTCTCTTTTAATGCAATTACGGTAGGAGCGATAATCATTTGATGTTTTTAACTATTGCCTGCTATCCTTTCTCTCTTTGCCAAGTTAGCTATTTTTTCTTCTCTGTAATGTGTAAACTTCTATTTTAAGCACTATTTGCTTGGTTATCTGTAAAATTTCCAAAGGAACGAAGTGTGCACTCATAAGCTCACAACTGACCGAAAAAGTATTTCTCGCAAATATCCGAATACACAGTATTCGGATATTTGCGAGAGACGTCTAATTACGTCTGTTACTTTTTTTTTTTTTTTTTTTTTTTCGTCTTTTCTCTTAGGATTTTGATTAAATTTCTATGAAAGTCTAAAAATTAAAGGTAAATGTGGTCTTTTTAATACAGATTTATTTTTCTTGTAAAATAACCCTTCTTGACATAACTAGTAAATGGGTCAATTAACTTAACTAACAATAATGCGCATCGGTACGGAACGCACCGTAAGGCTTAAAATGATATACTGGTCATGTACTGCGTGATAGGTAAATAATAAGCTCTTTTTCTGGTTTCAGTATAAATAACTGATATAACAACTGCAGATTACCTCTTCTAAACGAATCCAAACTGATTCAAATTACCAAAAACTTTGTTAAAGCATCAGTGAAATAAAATTCTTAATTTCGAACTCTTTGTTTCTGACAATGACTTCAACAAATCCTTTTTGTAAAAATTGTGTATGCTTTGATTCTTTGACAAAAAAAATGTTTAAATTTAGACTGATTTTTATTTTGATGTTTTGAATCGAGTAATGAAATCATTTATTTTATTCATAATTCAGACATTCAAATATTTATAAACTGACCTTTTTGCAAAGGTTAAGTAACTTTTCAATGTTTGAGCACTGGATGATTTGTGTAAAAATATTTTTAATCATTTTGGATTAGAAAAATTCCTTGCAATACTTTGTTTATACTTTTAATGATTTTAAAATATTTGAATTATGAAAGCTTACTCTTGTTATGAAATAGCTGAGATAAACAATTGTACAGACTTAATGTTTTGAATGTCATATAATTTCAATGCAGTGGGGAAACATTGCAAAAACCATTTCATTACATTATTTTTAGCTGCATGTCTTTACATCAAAATTATACCACATCATCTTTACAGCAAAGATTTTAACAAGTGCTGATTATAAAAATGATAAGGATTAAAATATTTCTAGGAATTGTATAGATACCAGTTGAATTATGTCAAAAAAAGTGAAACTTGTAAGTGGCGAAACGTTTTTTTTTTTTTTTTTCCTAAGACATATAACTGATCTTAGTTATCAATCTTTAGAAAATACTAGGCTCAAAACAGCCTAAAAAGTAAGAATTACTTAATATTGGCTAAAATGTATATTTTGTTGATTTAAAAGAGAAAAAATATTAAGATTGCTGTGATTTTATTCTTCAGTCTTTCTAAAGATTGTTTGCAAGTGACAGTTTTTTTAAGGAGCTCTCATTGGTCAAAAACATGACAATTCAAATGTCTGTCTGAAGATTTTTTGCACAAAAATGAGAATTACATAAGGTTTGTGTTATATAAAGGCTTCATCTTCATACTGCTGGTCAATGTAAATTTCTTGGTTGGTTCTGAAGAGTATTTGACATTTATTCAGATAATGGTATGGTGTGTCACTAATGCTGAAAACAGAACATTCTGCTGACATAACAGATACCATATTTACTCTTGTCATAGGGTTTTGTCATTGGTTAAAAAAAAAATACAACTTTATCTGTGCACTGTTCGTTTAATAGTTTGCAGGTGGGAGGAACATGGCTTGGCAGTAAACTGTCCGCAATTTATTGCCCTCTTGAAAGACTTCCAGTAAACAGGATTCTAATAATGGTAAAGAAGTGATAGATATCTCATTGTTGGCAACACAGCTTGCAATCTTGCAGAGTGCAAAAAGTACTACTGATAGTCGCACTTGGAGGCGCATCTGAAGTTTTCTAGTAGCATTTGTGTAAGCCAGATACAGATTGGTTTGATGAAGCTAAGATATTTGACCTCAAATCGTATAAAGTTTGAAGGATTGACAAAATTGAAACCAGAAAACTATAACTGAAGCATGGAAGCTGCACTGTAATTCTGTATATGTGTAATATATATTTGTATAGGACAATTTTTCATCAAATAATTGAAGTATGAATGGAACTATATACCAAAATATGTTGAACAAGAACCTCTATAAATTGCTCAAGATTTTAAAAATATTGCGCAGTTGGCTGCTTCAACATGATTCTGAT